TAACCTGTGTGTGTTTCACATGTAACCGGTAGCGCAATATTTATTTCGTATGTTGTATCTTGCCTGGCATAATTTAACAAGTATGTCATTGTGATCTTTGATTTACAGGTTCAGATCTCTAAACTATGATAAAAATACAGCCGGTGTTCTCACATAGGAGAAGATTCAGTTGTCACTCATTCATACATCCCGATTTGTGAAATTAATCATATACATTTATTTGCTGACATAAAGAAAGGTTTTGCTTGCTTTAATATCACATCGTACCGGTCTAGCTTCTCAAACAAACCCATTCGAAAATAAAATCATATAAATGATCTCCCCGACATGACCGGGATTATCTACGCTAAAACTCGGCTTCCGTACACTAACTGCTAACAGGAGCGAATACTTAAACGGTCGCCATTTTAAATAGATATAAATGACCTATTCAGTACTGTACTATGAACTCTAGGTAATCGAATGATGGTAAACTATCCAAATGACCGGTGTCCTACATACAAATAAACGGAGTCTTCACCAAGTTTTTGAACCTTCCGACTAATCGGCCAAAAATATCTGATAGTACCCTCACACTGAGTAAGCCGCCATGTTAATCAGGGGAGATGAGATAGGGAAATTTTATCCCGAGGAAAAATGTCAGTTAGCAAGCCTCGTGTTTGCAACTTAATTCCTTTTTCTTGTTGATGTTAGTAGTAACAATGGGAAATTTGGGAAGTTTCAAATCTTGTTTATAGTTGTTGAAGTTAAGAGAGCTGACTTTAAGATAACAATTGTGTCGCCCAACCGATATTTGTCACCGAAATTCTATACATATCCAATTTTTACTGCTGTCTCGTAATAATTCAATGGTTTTATTATTATCATTATCATTATTATTATTATTATTATTAATTTAATTTATGTTTTCCTAGAAAAAGAAGACCCACTTAAAACAGATAATAATTTGTCACAAAGAAAAATAGTATACATGATAAAAAAACATCAGGCAACATTAGAAAAATAACAATAAATTTATACTCTCATCATAGACTGGAAAAACTCGAGACTGGAACAGCGCAAGGATAAAAGAGAGAGAAAGGGAAACTGGAAACTGAGAAAGACCAAGGAATTCATCTCGATAAGGGATGGAGAACTGGTGAACAGAGACGAGGGGGATTATCAGTCGAGTAATTTTCATGACTCCATGACTGCTTTTAGTGTAAAAGACCTATGGGGACAAAAATTTGATGATTTGACAGCTGACTTTACATTTTCGTCCGTTTCCGAAGAATGAAATGTTGTCAAAACGCGGTCATTTGTACTCTTTGCTTGATAAAAGAAACAGACAATTTCGAAAGCTCATAAAATGTGTTTTTCAGTCGCTAATTGTGCTAAAAATAAACATTCCCTTCGATGCTGTTAAGCTCGTTTGAAACAAAAGCAATCATGAAGCAAGTTTCATGTATCAGGTTTTAAACACTCCTATTAGTTTCAAGAATGCAAATTTTCACTATCGTCTCTTTTCAGATTAATTTTAACTAAAATATTCCCCACACTGTATATCATTAAAACAGCGCGTTATCCTAGGTGTCTTGCTGTGTATTGTAATACCCTCGGAGTCACTAGATACTCCTAAGTGTTAAGGCCTTTGTTATAGATGAACCTAATACTAGTTTACACCATGAAGTCGTGTGTAGGTCAACACAGACTTACCCAGATACTCAATATCAACCCACTCGATATTTGTTTCAGATCGTTCTACACTTGTTTGTGGGGTTAGACATATCCAGAAATCTTTCAAGCGGTTATTCAGTAGTGATTTAACACTGCGGGCACAGGTCGACGTGTGGTATACGGCAAACAGAGATACCGTCTTAAGTCAGCGTTTAAAAAGGTTTAACTAACTGGTCCAAATTTTGTATTTAAATATCAACAATAGATTGAGATTGAGTCGATAATCCCCGTCAATTCTGTGGTATTCCGTCCCACTAACAAATCAATATGTTTATTTCAATTGCGTTTGTAACAAAATTTAATATTGTTTTAAAGAAAAAAATAACCAGAATGAATACCGAACAAAAGTCGGACATTGTATTGCGGATGCTATAATGTTTCACAGATGGAAGAGGATATGTTTGTTAAAAAAATAACAATTCGAGGTAAGTTTCCGATAAACAACTGCACTTAGCAACTGCAGGTCTGTTGTCGAGTTTATGTACAATGGTTAATGAGTGTTGTCTGCATCTTTCCTATTACCTTGATTCACCGACAATATTGCAAATATCCACAAAAATTCTGATGGTATTGGTAGAAGGGATTCTACTCTTTATCTAGTAGGAAACGTATTGAAATGAGTTCAGGAGAAACCAGGATAGTTCACACTTGAAAGTTATTCTGTTTCTGATAATGTGTGGATCTTCCAATATTTTGTAATAGTACTTTTGGTTTAACGTCATTTCTCAATAATAAATTGTAGCTATTTATATCGTTGGGAATACAATAAAACTGACACACTGAGGGGATAGATAAGGTATGTAGAGATTTTACTAACGTAAGGATATAAGTAATGAAGATTATAATTTACATGATTTTTTACAAACCGTAGTGTATGAAATAAAGTAAACGATAACATCCTGTATACAGTAATACCCTGTATATAATAATACCCTATATACAGTAATACCCTGTATATAGTAATACCCTGTATACAGTAATACCCTGTATATAGTAACACCCTGTATACAGTAAAACCATGTATATAGTAATACCTTGTATATAGTAACACCCTGTATACAGTAACACCCTGTATATAGTAACACCCTGTATATAATAATACCCTATATACAGTAAAACCCTGTATACAGTAAAACCCTGTATATAGTAATACCATGTATATAGTAATACCCTGTATACAGTAATACCCTGTATATAGTAACACCCTGTATATAGTAATAACCTGTATATAGTAATACCCTGTATACAGAAACACCCTGTATATAGTAATATCCTGTAAACAGAAACACCCTGTATATAATAGTAATACCATGTATGCAGTAATACCATGTATATAGTAGTAATACCCTGTATACAGTAATACCCTGTATACAGTAATACCCTGTATATAGTAACACCCTGTACACAGTAACACCCTGTACACAGTAACACCCTGTATATAGTAATAACCTGTATATAGTAACACCCTGTATATAGTAATACCATGTATACAGTAACACCATGTATACAGTGATACCCTGTATATAGTAACACCCTGTATACAGTAATACCCTGTATATAGTAACACCCTGTATACAGTAATACCCTGTATATAGTAATACCCTGTATACAGTAATACCCTGTATATAATAATACCCTATATACAGTAAAACCCTGTATACAGTAAAACCCTGTATATAGTAACACCCTGTATACAGTAACACCCTGTATATAGTAACACCCTGTATTTAGTAACACCCTGTATACAGTAAAACCCTGTATACAGTAACACCCTGTATACACCCTGTATATAGTAATATCCTGTATATAGTAACACTGTATACAGTAATACCCTGTATATAGTAATACCCTGTATATAGTAACACTCTGTATACAATTACACCCTGTATATAGTAACACCTTGTATACAGTAATACCTTGTATACACCCTTAAGCCAAATACTGACTGTAAATATTCCACGTGTCACCCTTACCTCTAGATACTGACTGTAAATATTCCTCGTGTCATCCTTAACCCCAAATACTGACTGCAAATATTACGTTTTTCATCCTTAGCCCTAAATAATGACTGAAATAATGCACGTGTCATCCTTAACCCTAAATACTGACTGTAAATGTTCCACGTGTCATCCTTAATCCCAAATACTAACTGCAAATATTCCGTTTGTCATCCTTAACTCTAAGTACTGACTGCAAATATTCCATTTATCATCCTTAACCCTAAATACTGACTGCAAACATTTCACGTGTTATCCTTAACTCTAAATACTGACTGCAAATATTCCGTGTGTCATCCTTAACTCTAAATACTGACTGCAAATATTCCGTGTGTCATCCTTAACTCTAAATACTGACTGCAAATATTCCACGTGTCATTCTTAACCCAAAATACTTACTGCAAATATCCCATGTGTCATCCTTAACCCCAAATACTGACTGCAAATATTCCGTGTGTCATCCTTAACTCTAAATACTGACTGCAAATATTCCGTGTGTCATCCTTAACTCTAAATACTGACTGCAAATATTCCGTGTGTCATCCTTAACTCTAAATACTGACTGCAAATATTCCGTTTGTCATCCTTAACTCTAAATACTGGCTGCAAATATTCCGTGTGTCATCCTTAACTCTAAATACTGACTGTAAATATTCCGTTTATCATCCTTAACTCTAAATACTGACTGTAAATATTCCGTTTATCATCCTTAACTCTGACTGCAAATATAATACGTTTGTCATCCTTAATCCCAAATACTGACTGTACATATTCCGTTTGTCATCCTTAACCCTTAATTCAAACTTGATATATTGAGTTATTTCAACAACCACTCCCATGTATTATTCCTTGTATTATCATGTTTAGCATACAAAGATTTGATTTACAACATATCCACAAAGACTTGATTCACGATTGATCAAGCAACATATATTACTCTTGTTTCATCAGTACTGATAAGTCATAGGAGTGACATGCTTGGTGTAGTTTGCCAAGAATACAGTACTACACAACGAACCAATAAGGTGCACACACAAACATACAATATACCTAATTAAGTCTGTAAATCATGGATTCACCAAGGTCTTGTAACGACACACCATGTAACTAGTGTCATTTCCTGATAACATGTTGGAACACTGTACATAAAAGGATTAGAGACTATTAGAGAAGACGTGAACGGTTGGCGGGTACACTAACGGAGATGTGCCAGTCAAACACCTGCGATATAAGCAGTAATGGTCGTGACAACGCTTTATTAAAATTGTCTGGTTTATTAGAAATACACGCCGACAACAAAAACAAAAATACAAACACTTTAGCGATATGGAAGTAAAAACAAAAAGAATAATAATAATAATAATAATAAAACAAAACACATACACATTTTGAGTTATCTTTCACGTAAAATCGGAAGTTCCGGAAATGACGACATTGCTTTATTTGACAGCAAGACTTTTTTCTTATAGCAGGTGCCCGATGCTCAGTTCTCAATAAAAGTGACTGCTTTGTGTTGTCTTTGAATTGTTTGCTCTATTTAAATCTGCTGCATATCATATATTCTCTTATCATTCTATTTCATGAACGGGTTTATTGTCTTCAAAGAAACAATTAGATAGAAATATGTATATACATAATCAAGTTATTAAAAAAAAAGAAATAAAAAATCCAATTGCACGTTTCAATTTTCGCGATAACGTGGAGCGTTTTTCCAGGATAACGTTAACAGCAAATCAAAAATCGTTTTAATTAAGAGTTTAATCCACGCGTGATTTATCTATGTTGATGAATAACACCTGAATATTGCTGTAGAAAATCGTATATATCACACAGGTCATAATTCATTTGTTGGTAAAACAGAAACATTATAATGGTGAGTTTATATTATCACTGTTTTGTTTCGTTCTCTGCAGTATACTGTGACAAAGCGTGACGAAAGCGTGACGCAAGCAGCTGGGGCGATCATGCTGGAGGATGAGGATGATGACGTCATCATCGAGGAGGATGAGGAAGGAAAGGAAGGCACTGCCAACCGTCCCGCAACGCTGGGAGACTTCATTACCGGCGTTCTCAACGAAAAAATATCTATAGGGGAACTGGAAAGTCGGAGAGAGAACGCATTTGGAATAGCAATGGGCCTTGCCGCCAGGATTGTAAACACTGCCTATGAAATACATCCTCTGTACCCAAAATACATTTCATTAAGGGGAGGCAAGCCGGAACTGGAAAATCTCCGAGCAATCGATGTTAACAAATTTCAGTGCTTTGTGCCTATTAAAAGACCTGCGAGACCCGACACATTTACGGTGAATTTACCGATTTTACTGTGATTTTGATTTAAAGAATAAAATTATCTAGGGAAAATGACAAGACGAAATGCAAAAATTGCAGAATTGCGAACTGTAATTTTCTCCTGAACAAAATGAAATTTTGATTTTGTTAATTAAATGTATAAATATTTTTCATTATCAATTATAGTTGCCTTCAATTGAAACGTTTGTATGTTTTCTTTAAAGATGGTGTACAAGTCTCCCAGCGAGTACCCCAGCCACAGGATTCTCTTAGCTGTCAACGACAACTTATTCTCCGTGGACAAGATGCAGATTTCCAAAGAGTGGGGACACTGTGTGGACACCAATGGATTTCTCAGGCCGGACTTCATTCTCCACTGGTTCAATGACGGTATGTTTTGCGTCTCTTACAGATAACTGTCTGATTACTTCATCAAACGTTGGTCAAAACTAGTTAGGGTGTTAACTGATCACAGCGATTCTTGTTCTTGATTACAGGTCTCACAGCAGCTGCTGATTTTCTGAGAGAGGCTCGACCTCACAAAGCTAAAAAGCATCACACCATGGATATCACCTATTCTGCTAAAAAAGACGGGACCATACTTATCAAATTTTATACAAACCAATCCATTCAAGCACATCTGTTCTTCACTCTGAACATTGTACCCTGCATTCAAATCAATGAAGTCCCAAAACAGTGTCGTCTGCAGGTTCCCATAGCGAGCAGACGACCGTACTATGAATTTCACACTGACTTCAAAAAGAATATTAAAGATACGCTGGCACAAGGCGAGAAACTGTTTTATCTCGCGGCTAGCGTAATGCCTTGGACCAACGGTTGTGGATATGATGGCAGTATTGTCTGTTCTTGGGGTCTCAACATCGGTTGTCTGGAAGACCGGGCTCTTCATTACATCTGTCAGATGCCAACAGGAAAGTTTTTCAGGGATATCATTATGCTGATAGAAAGGATCAAAGACACGCATGTATTTTGCTTGCATACACTGACCAATCGCATAATCGAGAACGCCATTTTGTATCAGCACAAGAAAAGCATGGGGGTCGTGAAGTCGCGGTCACGATGGTTTATCAAAGTCATCGAGCGTCTTTCCTCCCACATGAAATCAGGAGTCTTTCCCGCGTTTTTTCAGGGTAAGCATAACTTGCTGGGAGATTTCAAGCCGGATTTACTTGCCGCCACGGCTTCGGAGTTGGACAATATGCTTGAAGGTCTAAGAGACCTCCCAGAAAATATATATGTGTATACTGGCTTGGAGAATGAACTAGAGGATATTGATGAAGGAAAATTGTATAGAGATGAACCACCCAAGGTAAAACAAGTTGAGGAGAAAACACTCGATTCTAATGAGGTGGTCGAGGAGGACTCTCTGTTTGATAGAACTATTACAACGTTGATGAGTGAAACTACGGACCGTTCTTACGATGACACGTTCTGTGATGAAAGCGACGATGAACCAATTTTCATTACCGGACCAGTGAAATACGGCTTTAAAAGGCATGAAATACGATCAACATCCAAGATGTCGGGGCAAATGAACTCTCGTCCATCATCCAAAATGTCGGGGAATGCGTCTGTTAGTAAAGGAGCTTTCAACTCTACTTCATCGTCGAACAAGTTTGGACGGTCAACAAAATCAGCGGACAAAGTTTCTGTAAATGGATCTATAAATTCATTTGATACAACTTCAAGAAATGGCTCTATCAAATCCTCCGATATTGTTTCTGGGAAACTTTCAAACAACCCATCTTCAAAACTATCAAGACACGGTTCATTAATCTCGATGGCATCTACGAGTACAGCGTCCAACGTCTCCGTCAATGGATTGAATAGTTCAGTTGGACGAGTTTCTGAAAACATCTCGAAAGGTTCGGTGGGGAAAGTTTCTGGGGCGGATTCGTTGAATTCGAAGACCGTAGGACATGTACACAGTTCTACTCCATCACACTCCAAAACATCGCTGCAGTCCTCAACTTATTCTTTAAACACAATTGCCAGGCAGACTAAACCACTTCCGGTACTAAAAGGTCGTAGCGATAATTCAGCCAAACAGGAAGACATAATGTCCAGAAATTTGTCACCAATTTCAAAGAAGTGAACATGTCGTGTATGTGTGCTTACAAACGAGGTCTTGAGTGTGATTCCTATTGACTGACTAGGATATAGTTTCGCCGTTATACTGACATCGTCGGTCTTGCTTAGATGATAAATGCCAGTGAAAATGTTTTGACGGCTGAGATATATATGTTTAACCCTCACGAGCTGGTGTGACGTTTGAGTGCGAATGTCTTGCCTTTTTATCATTATCATCGATATTGCTGTATGGCGTGGTGGACGGTAGAATTAGGTTATTATGTGAAAAAGCAATATACATCCCACAGACAAATTTGTATTCATATGTAAATGGAATCAAAATATTATATAATACTGGTTGAAATAATTAAGATTCTGCAGCTGGATCCCTCATCACGTATTTCATTCAATTATTCAGTATTCAGAGAGTGGATTGGATTTATTCATGGTTATGTCGAAAATTGTATGTCATTCCAAAATAATTTCATTTGGGGCTCATACAAGACATTTATGAAACTAAATACCTTTTCAGGTATTTTGAAATCTCAGTAGCTAAAAATGGATAACGGTTTTATTTTTTAAAACTTCCTGCACTTAAGATATTTTAGATATGTTCGGGATGGAGATAATTATCTGGTATGACTTTATTTAGGCTTAAAACAGAAAACAATCCAGCAGGTCCGCTATTTCTAAAGCTGAAAAGTCATTCTAAGACTACACAGTTGTAAAACGTTTACTGTGAACAGAATTAGCGTCAAAAGATCTAGCCATGTAAACCTGGTCCGTTTTAGATACTGACCGATTCCTGTCTAATTGACGGGTAATTTTTATTACGCGAGTCTGTGATAAGTTAAGACTAAGTTACGGATGACCAATCACCACACCAAGATTGATTTCTTTATCGTTTACGTCAAAATACAACCAGGACGTGACGTCAAAAAACAACCCAGACCTGGCGTCAAAATACAACCCAGACCTGGCGTCAAAATACAACCAAGACGTGACGTCAAAACACAACCCAGACCTGGCGTCACAATACAACCAAGACGTGACGTCAAAAAACAACCAGACCTGGCGTCAAAATACAACCAAGACGTGACGTCAAAAAACAACCCAGACCTGGCGTCAAAATACAACCAAGACGTGACGTCAAAACACAACCCAGACCTGGCGTCACAATACAACCAAGACGTGACGTCAAAAAACAACCAGACCTGGCGTCAAAATACAACCAAGACGTGACGTCAAAATACAACCCAGACATAGTGTCAAAATACAACCAAGACGTGACGTCAAAAAACAACCCAGACCTGGCGTCAAAATACAACCAAGACGTGACGTCTAAACACAACCCAGACCTGGCGTCAAAATACAACCACGACGTGATGACAAAAAAAACGAAGTCATGACGTCACAAAACAACCCAGACATGGCGTCAGTTAACGACCAAGACGTGACGTCAAAAAAACAACCCAGACCTGGCGTCAGTAAACGACCAAGACGTGATGTCAAAAAACAACCCCTAGACCTGGCGTCAAAATACAACTGACGTGACTATAAAAAACAACCCAGACCTGGCGTCAAAATACAACCGACGTGACTTCAAAAAACAACCAAAACGTGACGTCAAAAAACAACGAAGAGAATATCGACATATGGAAAGAATCTTGATTCAAACCTTAGTTGAATGAAACAAGGGCAAAATATGAAGAGAAAGATTTATACAGAGTCAAATGAAAAAGTAGACGAGGGAGAACAAGACCAGAAGTTCCAGAGGTGTAATCGTTTTTACCTTCATGGACAACCCAGCCAATTTCAAACTAAAATTTTAATGGTGTCAGAACGGTTAAATTAGCTGGACCTGAAGACTGATAGAACCAGTGGCAATGGAGAAGTAGCACTGTCCATGTAACCATAGCTATTCATTATTTGTTAAAACATGTTTTTTTTATAATACATCACAAAAAAAATACAAAAACAGAAAGAAAAGGTGCAACATTATTTTATTGTTGTCTTGTATGTACATTTCAAAAATCAATATAAATATTATGATAGCTATGTACAAATATGACTTCATGGAATGTGGAAGTTTGTTTTTTTTACTTACCACTTAACACTTCATGCTAAAAAAATTTTTGTTTCTATGATATACCAACATTAGAATGCTAGGAAAAGTATTCATTTACAAGTCTGTATTGTTAAAAAACCTGGCCCATTTTCATCAATTGCAGTCAGTAAAACAGTTCTGAATTCAGTTGAACATTTATAAAATGTCATACAGTCTACAGGTATTGAGACACCATTGTACACTAGGTAAGATCATTTTTCAGTGATCTGTGAGAAAGAGTACGATATTTGAAAAACTGTTAGAGTCAAAGGTTAGGCATTCAAAATGATATGGACAGTGATTATCATGTGTTTCCATGGTTACACAGTAAGTGATATCATAATTGGGGCAAGAAACAATGTTTAACCTTCACACATTCATTTAAAATACTCATGTAGAACACAATATCCAGACAACCTACCATACCCATAGAATAAATCTCATAACATTGGATGTTTGGCCATCTAAGAACTCTTACTTAGAGTCAAATTAGGCAGAAAACACATAACACATGTAACAAACTTCAATACCTGATATGTTGGCACAGAAAATCATTGTCTGAACAGAATTTATTGTGGTACGCTCAACAAAGATTTAAAAAAAAACTGCTAAAATATGATTGCTGATGAATATGTATTAGAATCCCTCGTCATGTCAGGTAGAGATCAGGTCATGATATATCTTATAGGATATTGTCAATAAATAAATATAAAATGATATGGTGTGTTTGATTTTCTTTTTATGAATTTGAATTATCTCCCTTTGTTAAATATTCACAAATATGTAAAAAGGTGAATTATCAGAGATTGAAAATCAATGTTTGACCTTAGAAACCTTATAGAACACCATGATGTCTGCAGTGAAAAGGTGAATTATCAGACTGAAAACCAATGTCTGACCTTTGTGACCTTATAGAACACCATGATGTCTGCAGTGAAAACGTGAATTATCAGACTGAAAACCAATGTTTGACCTTTGTGACCTTATAGAAGACCTTGATGTCTGTTGTATGGTTTCCAAACTGTATAAAATCCTAGTAGATGTAGGTGTACATGAGGTGATTAAGATATCACTAGCATATAAAACAGTTTGTCTCCCTTCAAAGGAAAGGTTGTGTTTCTTGTCAATATATTTTGAAATCACAAAATTTTCCAGACTAGATTCTGCAGGGTAAGGAAAATTGTTTAAATTAAGAAAATCAATATACTCGGAACAGTTCATAGCAATGGTGTTAAAATGATTTGTGAAATATACTGGTCCACTGTTGACTGAGAGTCGCCGAGGTGACGGAGAAGGATATCAAAGTGACGCACAGCACTCTCTTCCTTGAAGGCTTCAGCTATGTGGTGATGTCTTCTCGCCAAACTGAGAAAAAAAAAATCAATCTTCATATGGACCTGTCATACATGCAACAGATCTAGTGATAATTAGGGAATTTAAATTTATAAAAAATATAAGTTTTTTCGATACAGCTTTATGTAAAACCCTTCATAAATTAAGATAAAAAAAAATTCTATAATTATAAAGTTTTCCATATAATGTTTTATTAAAAACCATCCTAAATTCTGTCAAAAAAACCAACAATTTTGAAATATACAATTCATGTGCTGACTTCAACAACATTTCTCTGGATGATGGTACTTTTTGTAGAATGACAGTTATCCCCAAAAAACTTGGTGATGGCGTTTTATACATCTATGTAGAATGAGTGAAGTATGAGATGTGGTATCACTGCAAGAGGGGACACAACTCTTTAACATTAATTTGTTACTACATTTTAAATGTCCTTATTATATATGATGGATACATGGAGTATATTGTCACTTATATGGTATCTGTACTGACGTTGTCTGTACTTACATTTTAATGAGAATGAGACAGACCAAAGTCCACTCGGCTGGTCTAAAGATGATGTTCTGACTGGTGAAGCTGTAATACAAAATAGGAGACAGTCATCAGACTCATCCAACATAGTAATACACTTTTTGTCTAATTAATATGTTTATTTAACAGAAAGTATCAAGTATAGATGATCAACTAAGCTAACCAGGAAGTCCACTGGAAAGTACTTTATACTGTGACAATATTTCAAGGACGGTGAAAGAATGTCTTAAAAATCATTCAGTAATAGCAGAGGGAGATTTCAGAAGACTGACCTCTGATGACCCTTGAATATTGCTATACTAACAAACTAAATAATTATAAAAGTTCCAGAAAATATATCTAGACCTATCTAAAGCAAATGCGCTTGCAGATAACACATGGATAATTCAATTAAACTTAATCATATTCTGTGTCGTCAAACAATGTGAAAGTGGAAAATGATGTTAGAGGATATGGGAATGTAGATCATAATGTATGCTGGTTTAACTGGAAAAGGGTTTCTTATTAATTTTCAGTTTGGTTTTTATGTTGTTAAGTGTCCTACCAACTTGTCATTTAAGAATTAGACCAGCACCTTTGATATGGGTAAATCTTGTAAGGATGGGACTTACACTTTTAAAGTAGGAAAATCACAAAAATCACGGAATTTGTAACACAGATAGAGTCTTAACTTAACAATCTATCAGACAGACTTTGTCAACAGGTGTTAGGTCCTTTACCACAAAAGTTTGTACTGTAACAGTCTATCAGACACCTTGTCAACAGGTGTTAGATCCTTTACCACAAAAGTTTGTACTGTAACAGTCTATCAGACACCTTGTCAACAGGTGTTGTATCCTTTACCACAAAAGTTTGTACTGTAACAGTCTATCAGACACCTTGTCAACAGGTGTTGTATCCTTTACCACAAAAGTTTGTACTGTAACAGTCTATCAGACACCTTGTCAACAGGTGTTGTATCCTTTACCACAAAAGTTTGTACTGTAACAGTCTATCAGACACCTTGTCAACAGGTGTTAGATCCTTTACCACAAAAGTTTGTACTGTAACAGTCTATCAGACACCTTGTCAACAGGTGATGGATTCTTTACCTGAATGTAGACACCAGCAGTCTGACTTCTGAAAACACCTCTTGCATGGATAGCTTTAGAGGTACCAGCAATTCTGGTATACTGAAAAAAAGACGATTGTGACTTATACATGATGTTGCTGTGAGAGGGAATGTACCAGTGGAGGTATACATTTTTATACTTCAAAATGTTTGAACATTTTTAAATATTTAAAAAAAATGTGTTCCATTATATGATAACTGTTCTGGACAAGGAATAAAACCACATGTTAAAAGTCAGTGTCTTGGTCATACCATTAACAGAGAAAAAAGTTCACATAAACTTCCAGCATGTTTTCCAATCCCCAATAAACACTGTTTAAGGTAAACAAATGTTGTAAACACTTGAAATAAAATACTGTTTAAACTAAAATTGTCCTGCACACTTAGATTTATCAAAATATGATGGATGAAAGGTAGGTACTCACGATCGATTGAGTTTTTCCATCACAATTTTCTTCCTAATTAGCATCTGATCATGACTGTCCACAGTGGGAAGGTTGATTTCTGACTGCTCGTCCTTTACCTGGTATTAATGAAATCCCTAATTATTATCAAACAGAAACTATTTGACATATATATATATATATCAGGGTTTTCCATAATTTTGTTAGTGGTAGGCTGTGTAGTGAAAGTAGGAGGCTGGCCTGCCGTGTACGTGTAGTCATGTACCGAACATTATTACGGAACTGGATTGGTGTAGGCGGCCAAATGATCAAAGAAGCCGGTCAAATTGGCCGGCGACCGGCTCTTATGGAAAACCCTGTATATATTGTATTAATCACACTAATAATTGTACAAATTAAAGCAAGTCTTGACTTTTGACATCAACCATTTTATAAAGATTTCCTCATATCCAGATGGTGATTCAACAACTGATCTGATAATAATGATAAATCAGTTGATAAATAAATGGAAAATAAACTTATTGATAAACAACTGTTTTTGCTATACATGGGAAGGAGTGTTGGGTTGAGGTCGGGAGGATGTATACAATTTACTGACATATATATTTGATATGAAGAAGTAAATAGGAGTGATACACATTAAACTATATCCAATGTGAGGTTGAATTTCGAGTCTACCAGCTTCAGTATCCTATGAACAGGAACATACCACTTCTTTGACAACTACAGAAGTGCTGGTCTTGCCCTGTAAGTACTGTGCCACTTTTTCACCAAAATTTTCCGTTTCTTCTCTCAGAAGGTTGTAATCTGGAACTGGTTTCTGTGGAAATGATGGATCCTCCATTTTGGATTCTCCTACAATGTCGTCAAGGTCATTTTCTCTATCATCAATTCTCTGACACAGTTGATTATATTTTAACTGAAATTCTGTTTGGTCCATTCCATCATCAGGAGCTTCTGATTCCTGTGGTACAATAAGGTCGATAGTTTCCCTGGTGACCCACTGTTTCAATGTCTGACATAGTATCTTTATCACAGATTTGGACGGTCCCTTAGAGGTTCTATCTGATAATTTTTGTGCCTGTCCAGCAGATGATGAAGCAGAATAAGATTTATCTGTTGGACTGACTGATGATTTCTTCAGGACAGAATTTGTTTTTACACTTTCATGAATTTCAGTTTTATCATCATTATCATCATCAGAATCTGAAGCAGAGGTCACATTGTCACATTTTTTCCCTGGTGCGGTTTTTGTGATTCCAAGACAATCTTTTCCTGACACAGAATCATCATCACCTGAATCAGGTGCTAGTTTTGTTGATTGAAAATCTGCCATTTTAACAAGTAAATGTTTTCGTTTGTTCAATAAAGTCTCAAGATATTTCATCTTTGATTCAGCACTCATTGTATCTCCATGGTTACCAGATTTTCCTTCATCCACAGATCTAGGATGAATGTCTTTCTCTACAGCATCACTCTTTTTGTCTTTGAATTCTTTCTCATCTGTCACAGTGTAATCAACAGCTATCTTTTCCTTTTGAGCACTTCTAGCACTAGACTCTGTACCTTGCTTAGAAGAAACATCGTCATCACCGATTCTTAGTGATTTTATATCTATCAAGTCTGGGTCGTGAGAACTCTTGTTTGCAGGCTTCCCCTTGCCTTTTGATTCGTATTTCTCAAGTCTTTTCAGTGACTGCACTTCATGCCTTATCTCTGATGTCACGGAAATTACTTCGTCACCTTCCAACCCACTGTAAATATACATCAACATGAGTAAGTTTTATGAAGTAAGTGTTTATATGATATCTCAGACTTATGTAGTTATCTGTTAAGGGCCTTAACTATAGTAAGGCAGGAGTTTGTCGGTTTCTTCTATAATACGTGAAAAAACAAAACTAAAGATGAATCACTTCAACTTGGATCTGGTATGAATTCACGAAATCAATCCTAGATTCAGAAGAATTCTCATTTGCTAACAGAACATGGCCTTGTCATAGAACAATGTTGAATAGCAAGCTCATCAGGAATCATCACTACGCAAATGATTCAAGGGAGATAACCACTTCAATTGTTGACGCAAATGCCATACATATAAATATAAAAGAGTGTGAATTTTGTAATGAATTCCCCAAAGACATGAATGGTTATCAAGAAAAGAAGTTAATGCATGAAAACTAAAGCATGACTATAGTTCTGTTTAGAGATAAACTTATCCATGACAGACAGGACTAACTTAGTGTCCATGGGAGAACGTCGTTCCATAAAATGACAAGATTTACTTTGTGGCTACCGGTCAGTCAACCTGGACTTAGACAGAACTTACCTTGTGGCTCCCTGTGTCACTCCCAATGGCAGAAGTTTAATTGGTTTATTAGTCACATGTTCCCTGGCCCAGAGTGGAGCTGTCAACAACTGCCTTCTGAAGTACTGAGATGCTGTGAAACACTGGTTACTGCAAAAATTCTGCAAATCACAGATGAAAAGTAAACATCAGTACCTTTGACTCAGAGGCAGGCTTATAAACATTTGAAACAGCATTTATTGACAATTTCATTCCATTTCAAGACCAGGATTTACTTCCAGATATATACTGTACCTATAAGGGAATGATGCAATATATGGAATAAATGCAGCCTTATTTGTAATCACAAGAAATGTAATCCATATTGAGTTGGAAAATATTGCAAAAAAAAAAAAAAACAAAAAAAAAATCAACAACTGTCCATTTTCACTTTCAACTCTTCAAAGGCCTTTCTGGGTGATGTCATACAACATGTGTCTGCACAGATCAATTTAAGGTAGACAGCTGACAGTAATACCTTTCTGGGTGATGTCATACAACATGTGTCTACACAGATCAATTTAAGGTAGACAGCTGACAGTAATACCTTTCTGGGTGATGTCATACAACATGTGTCTACATAGATCAATTTAAGGTAGACAGCTGACAGTAATACCTTTCTGGGTGATGTCATACAACATGTGTCTACACAGATTAATTTAAGGTAGACAGCTGACAGTAATACCTTTCTGGGTGACGTCATACAACATGTGTCTACACAGATCAATTTCAGGTAGACAGCTGACAGTAATACCTTTCTGGCTGTGATGTCATACACCTTATTGCTCCGAGTGGAAATATGGTACTTCTGCTTTGGAATCTGTAAACATGAGAAACAATTTTTTGTGGTAACATACAGGTAATTCTGTTTCATTGTTTTAGAATCTTGACAGAGAATATAGAGGATGTATCGGACATGAAGGTCAATGCTATAATCTTTCAATTCCATAAATTCTTGAGAGTTAATGGTTGTTATTACTGAATTACTAGTATATTTAATCTGTTTTTTTCCTAGTTTTTTCTAATTATCTCTTAAGAGTCTTTAGTACAATCTTTGAAATTTCAGGTGGGAGACAATGTTGGTGGACTTTCAGCCCGCAAGGTTTGAAATAACATGTATGCTATGTTTAAATTCGTTTAAATAGTTCAGAATATGCCCATGTACTTGATATTCTTCTGAAATTATCAGACTTATGCAAATGAAAAAAATAATGGAAATATGCAGCTAATTTTCTTTCTTGATTAATATTGATCTGTCGTCCCTTTGGTTTCAAAATTTAGGCCCCTAGCATCAATAATGTGTCCTAGAAGGATGAAACAGCAGTACCTGACAGTTAAATTCATCCTTTGACTCAGTTGTTTTGGCTTTTTCACTTGAGTGTCTTTTGTACAATCACCAACATAATTTCAGCATGCATTAGTACTATCAAGTGTATATTATATTTAACAATTTTTTTTACAGTTACTGTTGATAGTGTACAAACATTCATGAATGACTGACTCATAGTAATGATGACGGGGAGATATTTTTGGAGAATTTTAATATCCACAAATTATTATGTGATAAAAAAAGGTAATTTCGAGAAACTCATTGAACACAATTTCAACCATAAAAATTTATCTGTAGTTACTCCATTTTCCACAGAGTTCCACGTCCAAACTGACATAAAAGCCACCTCCTTGGAAGACACATCCAAACTGACAAGGAAAACACATCCAAACTGACATAGAAGCCACATCCAAACTGACAAGGAAGCCACATCCAAACTGACATGGAAGCCATGTCCAAACTGACAAGGAAGCCACATCCAAACTGACATAGAAGCCACATCCAAACTGACATGGAAGCCAAGCCCTTGGAAGCCACGTCCAAACTGACATGGAAGCCACGTCCAAACCGACATGGAAGCCACGTCCAAACTGACATGGAAGAGTTGATAGTTGAAGGTGCATTAACACTATCATTGTATTTAGGTTTGGTGCAAGCCTATCATCAATGCAAACAATAAACATGTTGACACCGTTCACCTCAGATTGTCATATCCTAATGTGACAGCACTTTTCCAAATATGATGTGATCCTGCAAACAAGAGGCCCATAAGGCCTGCATCACTCACCTGGCAAAATTGATTCCTCTTAACTTAGGAATGTATTAAATCAAATTTAGTCAAAAACTGATCATTCCTACAAGAAAAGGATTTTCAAGAATTTGCTCTGTATCCACTATTTAGCCCTGTTCTCCTCCCAGGAGGCCTGAGACCTATTTTTTATACAAAACTGATTCCCTTTCACCCAAGAATGCTTCAGACCAAATATGGGCAAAATCTAATCATTCCTATAGGAGGAGTAGGATTTAAAAGAATTTGCTTTACTTCCCTCTATTTGGCCCCAATCCTCCAGACCATGAGGCCGAGACCAACAGCAAGACTGAAGTTTCAGTAAAATCATATCATTTATACAGGAGGGGTAGCCTTTTAAAGAATTTACTCTATTTCCCCTTCTGGACCTTGCCCCTACAAATCCAGGGGACTGGGATTCATTGCTTATACAAAACTTTCACCTAAGTATAATTAATGCTTCAGACCAAATTTGAGCAAAATCTAATCATTTCTACAGGAAAAGAAGGATTTTGATAGACCTTGCAAAATCTCCCATTTTGGGCACCATCCCTTAGGCTCCTGGGGGCAGAGACCCACCACTTGCTCAAAAATTGTCCCCTTCCCAAAGGAAGCTTCTGACAAAATTTGGTCACAATCTGCTCAGTCATTCATGACAAATAGCGATTTGCAGAAAAAAGGTTGACTAACAGATGACAGACGCTGCATTATGCCAATACCTCACTTGGCCCTTTGTGCCAGGTGAGCTAAAAATGTAACAAGTAAGTCTGAAATTAACCCATGCTGATGACATCACACTACACTTTTACGTCTTTTTTTTTTGTCAATCTGAACACATTTCAGTCACATCTACTTACATGTCCTAAAGTGTTTGGACAGATGGGATAGCCACACATTTTAGCTATGGCTCGCTCCTCCACTATATCGTCAAAGTGATTCGGACATATGTTGAAAGCCTGTAATCAGGAAAGAGTCACACATTACAGGTTTATAAATTACTGGTACCAAATACATAGCACAAAATAAACAGGTTAGATACATTATAGGTTTCAGATAAACTTACTGCTTACCACAATTACAGATTACACACATTATAGAATTTAGATTGTCATTCTGCCTCCCACAAAAGACAAAATTCACAAATATAAGTAACTAGCTCTTTGTATTCTGTATTTGATGTGTTTATTGCCTATCCTATTTACTGTGTATGTTGTCTTACCTTTTTTCTGTGTATGTTGCCTATCATATTTGCTGTGTATGTTGTCTTACCTTTTTTCTGTGTATGTTGCCTATCATATTTGCTGTGTATGTTGCCTAAAATATTTGCTGTGTATGTTGTCTTACCTTTTTTCTGTGTATGTTGCCTATCATATTTGCTGTGTATGTTGTCTTACCTTTTTTCTGTGTATGTTGCCTATCATATTTGCTGTGTATGTTGCCTAAAATATTTGCTGTGTATGTTGTCTTACCTTTTTTCTGTGTATATTGCCTATCATATTTGCTGTGTATGTTGCCTAACATATTTGCTGTGTATGTTGTCTAACCTGTTTTCTGTTTTTGTTGCCTAACCTATTTGCGGTGTTTGTTGCTAAACCTATTTGCTGTGTTTATTGCCTAACCTATTTGCGGTGTATGTTGCCTAACCTATTTGCTGTGTTTATTGCCTAACCTATTTGCTGTGTTTGTTGTCTAACCTATTTGCTGTGTATATTGCCTAACCTATTTGCTGTGTTTATTGCCTAACCTATTTGCTGTGTATGTTGCCTAACCTATTTGCTGTGTATGTTGCCTAACCTATTTGCTGTGTATGTTGCCTAACCTTTTTTCTGTGTATGTTGCCTATCATATTTGCTGTGTATGTTGCCTAACCTATTTGCTGTGTATGTTGTCTAACATTTGCTGTGTATGTTGCCTAACCTATTTGCTGTGTATGTTGCCTAACATTTGCTGTGTATGTTGTCTAACATTTGCTGTGTATGTTGCCTAACCTATTTGCTGTGTTTATTGCCTAACCTATTTGCTGTGTATGTTGCCTAACCTATTTGCTGTGTATGTTGCCTAACCTATTTGCTGTGTATGTTGCTAAACCTATTTGCTGTGTTTGTTGTCTAACCTATTTTCTGTTTTTGTTGCCAAACCTATTTGCTGTGTTTATTGCCTAACCTATTTGCTGTGTATGTTGCCTAACCTATTTGCTGTGTATGTTGCCTAACCTATTTGCTGTGTATGTTGCCTAACCTTTTTTCTGTGTATGTTGCCTATCATATTTGCTGTGTATGTTGCCTAACCTATTTGCTGTGTATGTTGTCTAACATTTGCTGTGTATGTTGCCTAACCTATTTGCTGTGTATGTTGCCTAACATTTGCTGTGTATGTTGTCTAACATTTGCTGTGTATGTTGTCTAACATTTGCTGTGTATGTTGCCTAACCTATTTGCTGTGTATGTTGTCTAACATTTGCTGTGTATGTTGTCTAACATTTGCTGTGTTTGTTGCCTAACCTATTTGCTGTGTATGTTGTCTAACATTTGCTGTGTATGTTGCCTAACCTATTTGCTGTGTATGTTGTCTAACATTTGCTGTGTATGTTGTCTAACATTTGCTGTGTATGTTGTCTAACATTTGCTGTGTATGTTGTCTAACATTTGCTGTGTATGTTGTCTAACATTTGCTGTGTATGTTGTCTAACATTTGCTGTGTATGTTGTCTAACATTTGCTGTGTTTGAAACTGTCTTTTGAAGATGAGCATAATGTTATATCTATATAGAATAATTGCAGGCTGGCAGCCATCTTAAATATTAGAAAAATTATTTGGGAAGTTCCAAATGAGGTATAAAGTTTCAAGATCAGATTCCTTCAGTCATTACTGAGGTTCAATGGTAATAAACCTATGTCACAATCCTAAATGGATGATTAAAGTCATCTTGAATATTTGATTAAGCTCAAAATGTGACATAAATGTACAGAACACAACCATAAAGTTCAAAAAAGATATTTCCCCAGCTGTTTGTAAAAACTGAAACAAATAATTGTTAAATTTGATTAACCAATAAAATAGTGAATAAACCGAGGAATATTTTCTGGTTAACAGTACTGACATGGAATATTATTGTAAATGACTCATAAAAGCTCATGGAAATCATGAAAAGCATGCTACCAATACTTACATCCTGCAGCAGAGTGGCTTCACTAACAGGACCATCTAACATTTTTTCCACAATTCGAAAAGCTCTTTTCTCACATTCTTGGCGTCTTTGGACATCTTGTTCAATTTTCTTTCTTCGCTCTGCTTCTCTATCACTGCTAAAAACAAACACAAAATAAAATCTTTTCTTGTCACTGAAATTGACATAGGCTTGACAGGAAAAAGAAAACTTTCAGAAATAAAATTGCATGTTTAGTCCAAATAATCTGTGCACAGTTAATTTCCTTGGTAATATAGTAAGGGATGTTTATATATACTATTCCCATAGAAAATGAGCACTAAAAACAGAGGTGTAATACATGACCATAACCAGTGAGACCCATATAAGATACAAACTCAGAGAAGCTATGTTTAAGTGATAGTTAAGTTAAATCCTTTAAACTTGTATGTGATCTTTATACTATGAAAAAGTTGCATAAAAAATTGCACTCACAAAAGTACCGTTAGTAAAATGATGATGAGGATATTTGTAACCTTACAACTAGACTAGGTCTAATCAAGAGAAGTCTCAATTGCAATAGATGTCTGGAGAAGTTGAAAGTACAGGTTGCCTTGGCTAGTAGGAATTTCCCTCTAGTTGAATGTCAGAGCATCCAGCTAGAGACAGAAGGGTCATAAGTTTGAGCCCCTGCAGTGGCAGGATGTTTTCATTGCTCTTTCCTATTACACATTTGGTGCCATTGACCACTGGTAGGGTAGAAGCTATAAGAGATTGATATGTTTCCTTGGAGATGTTGAACCTGGGATGTTGTTGTCTTCGGAGTCAAATAGTTTATGAAGGAGGGAGTAGTGCAGAAGTTGAGAGTAAAGGCCACCTTACTAACCTCGGCTAGAGGGAATTTCCATTAAGTTGAGCGATAAGTTGTCCAGCTAGAGACTGAAGGATCGCTACATATAGTTCAAACATCAGCGGTGTCAGGATGTTTTTCATTACTCCTTCATATTACACATGTGAGTAGGTGAGATAACTCATCAGTTCAGTGTTAAGTTGACATTATCACTGCCCTGAACACTAGTAGGTATTACGTACTGTATACAAATGTGTGTATAAACTACATGTATTAGTGAATCATATAAAAATGAAGATGTCTTCATTACATTTGATTTATTTCATGAAAATATTTTATTTATATTTTATTAAAATAAATCAGCTGCAAACAGTTCCGGTAAAAGAACATTGCTGAAGAAATGTTGTTCATTTGTTTTAAATTGTACATCAGCTATTGCGGATAGTTTTACCTCTAACTATGGGCAAATTGTGTGACAATATTCCTAGGGTTTATTTCCGTTACCACAAAGAATAAGATTTCACTTCATCAGTCTGAGTAAATATTTTGTGTTTGTTTTCTATATACGAGGAACGCCTTCAGATAATACCTTTGCTGCTGGTGACCAAGATCTCCCGAGCCTTTACTTTCCTTTTGTTTCATCTCCTCCTTGAACATTGCAAAAGTTTCTAATTTTTCTTGTGAGCGTCAGCAAAATGTGGTGTTTACCATGGGCGCCGCCATATTTGTTTGTAGCCACTAAACCAAAAATGGTTGTCACAAATACAATCATAGTATGGAAAATAATTGATCTAAGTATATACTGACTCGAATAATGTAAGCATAATGGATGTGATAGAAATATTAACATCACAATTTCCTGAAGTTAACAGCGTTAAAGAACATAATTAGCTCGGTTTGAGAGTAGCAGAAACATCAACAAACATGGCCGAACCGCCAGGTTCAAAAGACACAGGGTGGTCAGATGGTGAAGCATTAACTAATGTCTCGTTTGTAAAAGATGTCAAGCTTGTGTCCATCGAGCATCCGGCCATTGTTAACGATGTTGATAAAGCGTTGTCCACACTTGGAGGATGTAAAGAATTGTCTAAGGTATCAGAATGCGAACGCCTGTTTCAGTGGTACACATTCAGTAACTGCACTAACCGCCCGAATAGAAACCTGTGTCTGGTTAGATGGGCGTAATACTGATGTATCACATAAAAATGTTATTTAAGACACTTTGAGTTTTAATCTGGAATGTTTATAGCATGTTCAATATGTTATATTATAAATAAAACATATTTTAATTAAGACTTTACAAAATTGTTTGCGTTTACTTTTACTTGCAATAAACTGTGAGACTGTTGCCCTGACAACAAGGTAATTATGATGAACTGTGAGACTATTCACTGAAACCTTTAAACCCTTGGATCTGCTAAGCAGGCATCTGTTTCTTATGTAATAGCTTCTTTTGAACAACATACATAAGTCTTTATTTGATGTCCTACAATTTTACTCATGAAATCATTAGCATTGTAGCTATTTTCTGAGAAAATTGCATGAAATAAAAACGAGATTGAGATATGCTTTTGTTATTTGTCAAGCTTGCATAATTTGTGTATTGTTCGTTTTTAATCTACTTATTGAATTTGGTTTATGTGGTTGTACTAATTAATTGAATGAGTTAATCTAGGCTTAATTAGGCCAGTGTTGGCTAATTATATTTAACATTTTGTATACATTGAAAATTTTTGCAGACATTCTGTCAAACCAACAAACGAATTGCTTTGCGTTGGAGACCTCAGGATATCTACTGTAAGTCAGTATATGGAGAGCGATACCCCACCACTAACTTACTGATGAAGGTGAAAAGAAGATGGAGAAAAGATAAGCCAGAGGAATCACAATATAAGATCCAGGTCCTTGGCGTTATTGACATCACTTACAAATTCCAAGGTTTGGATTTGATGGTCTTTAATATCATATCATTTTTATGTGTGTAGGAATTGATCTAAGGAAAGGACTGATGTATTTATACAAACATATAGCTTGGCGTCTGATCCTTTTGCTTATATATAATATACTCATTTTGATATCAATGTATTATAGTTTTTATTATTTTATTCTTAAATGTGTAAAATCAGTATTTTCAAGCAAAATGTATCGACCAAGTTAAGATTTTCTCCTCCATGTTGACTGATGCTTAAAAAACAAAGGAGTTAAATTTTATAATAAAGAATGAGTTTTAATTTGTATAAAAGTGTGAAATGAAATATTCTCTGTCTAATAACAGTAACTAATCCTTATCAGAGAAATTCTGTAAAATCATCACATTGTAAATGTATATACACCGGTCCTTACTCACCTTCATTAGCTATGGTAGACTACCAGTATTTGCCTGTGGTACGACAGCCAGACCTGAGTTACACCTGTGTTAGCGATAAGCTTGTTCTGAACAAGCTGTGTGACCGCCGTGAGTTTCTAGACAACGGTTGCCCACTCTTCCTTCCCCCCAGTAGCTTCTCAAGGATGGACTTCCCAGACAAAAGTTACCTCCTCCGAAAGGACATTGAACATAGACCTGGATATGTCAATCCAGATCGCAACCGTCCTCAAAACCTCATTGGCACTGGTAAGATTTGTCTTTGTCAAAAACTTTTATTAAGTCACCCAGATTAACTTATGGTATCAAATTATACTTGTTAATGTTTGTTATATGAAAAATAGAATTTCTTTGTATCTAATATTTTCTGAGATGAAATAAAGAAAAAAAAAATTGTGAAATAGATCTGTATGGTTCTTTGGATTTTAGAAAAATCCAGGGCAAATTTTGCAATCAAAGGGAGATAATGCAGTTAGGAAAGAAATAAGTTTGAAATTCATGGTCCAGTTACAATGAAGTCAAAATTGTTCAAACTGAGAAAAGAATGATCTGTCCTTTAATTTCATATTTAGGCAGTTACAGAAAAAACTGGTATAAAAGGTAAATATGCACTTGGTTTTTTGCAAGCCATGGCTCATCTAAAAGAAACAGCTGGCTTTATCGCATGAGAGCTAATGAGATTAGATAAGGTTTCAATGCAGAAGAAAACAATTTTGTTTACAACCTGATTGCAGTTGTTGTCTTGTAAACACTAAGTCACATGATGTCATTAGTTCATGTAACAGACTTTTATAGGATCTGATCGGGTGTTAAGTCATTACATTATTCTATATATTTTATATGCATGCTCTTAGAATTATCAAAATTTATGTGAAATTTGTGCATATTTGGTATTGATCTGTTTGAAAGACAACAAAGTGATTTGTAGTGGTGACCTGCAGATGGTTCAGTTCATTGAAAAAATAGAGGAAGGGTTTTATGCAAATTTCATGTGTATATATACTACAAAACAGAGAATAGTTGTCAACGTACATAAGTAAATATTCATTTATGAGTTCAGGTTTTGTACAGGAGAAATCCAACTTTGATTAATCTTGTTTGGTATTACTTAGTGCGCCAGAAGAGAACAATTTTTACACAGTTCTGCAGCTTTGGAGATCCTGTCCCAGTCAGCGTATCAGAGAAAGTCAAGACTGATCTGAGATCAAAATACAACAATCCTGAGGCTGAACAGAAACTTAGACAGGTACGTTTCCAGAATTAGTTTTATCATTATGAAGTGTTGGTGATAAAATCATCTTTATGTTGTTACCCAGAATACAGAAGGAAGGTCAAGTTACTACCTCTTGATTTGATCTTTTAATCCTTGACAAATTAACACTTGAGTCTGAATTGTTTTTTATCAGCTATTTTTCTGCCCTGTTTAAGACTAATATCATGATAGTTAAATATTGGTCCTCTTACTTGGTAAAGCCTTGTTATTGCCCACAAGCAGTGACAATGTAAAAAACATGGTTTGTTCTTTTTATTCAAGCTTTTTGAGGAGCGTCCAGTTTGGTCTAGAATGGCACTGTATCCACATTTTCCTAAGAATAAGCAGAAACTGAAGTACCTACTACCACTGACAGGGTTCTACTACTTAAGTGGTCCTTGGAGATGCTTGTGGTGTAGGTTTGGGTTTGACCCTCAAAAAACTCCAGAAGCCAAGATGTTTCAGACAGTTGATTTCAGGAAACGACAAGGTAAGTAATCTTCGTTGTTTTCTGAAGTTTTCAGTTGTATTAAACTGGCACAGTTATCTTTAAAAGATTTGTTGCCTGCTGGCACACGTTATTTGCAAAAATTGTTTAAGTATTGAAATGATGAATGATTAGAGTATTAGAAAGTGTGATAACAAAGAGAATAAGTTCAAAAGGACAATCAGGATGTCTTGGGAAGGAGAGGACATCAATCCTGATTGTTATATATGAATTTCTGAAGTATACGTATAAAGGAGATGGGACCTAACTTTATCAAAATGACACACAATATCAACATATATCAAGTATTAAGTAAAATACATGTACATCTAATGATACTCACTTCTAACACTGGTAATTTGTGAAAAATGTATTTCAAATTCATGCAACAATTATAATTGAATTAGGATAGATATGTGCGGTGAGGTGTAAAATAAAATACCTGAGAGGGTCCAGAAGGTGAGCTGTTTGATAAATACCAGAAACAGACAAATCAGGTAAAATAACTGGACTTTGTGATAAGCTCTAGATCTGTTGATATGGAGATAAATGGCATCTGGTTACTAAGTCCGTGATTATATACTCTTTTGTCATCAGAAAATATTACTAATAATTATATTTTATCTTTTTAAGGTTCAGTTGGGGAAAAAGTTGGTATAAAACTGAAGAGGAAAGAAAACCTTCTGAAGTATCAGGCATTGAGGAGGAATGTTGCAAGTGACACTGTCATCAATATTCGTGACATTGTTATGGAAGAAGACGAGTCTGTGGCTAAGCCCACTTCATCAGAGACAACAGACTCAGAAAAACTCACCAAAGAAGTTTGTACCACTATCCATAGACAATGTTATCTTGCTCATTTGCATAAACAAGTAAATTATAAATAATGTTTAAGCATATACATGTGTCTAATTTGTGAATAGACTATCGGTTCGAATTCTCAGTCTTAATGGTCTCTGGAGGTTGCTATTTCTGGCATACTTGAGATCATCACCATTCTTGATTTTAGAACCTGCATAATGTCACATGATCCAAGAGACCCCAGAGATTAGAAAGAAGAATGATGTCCTGATACAATGGACTATTATCATTAACACACTTATCTGTTTACTGGTATTTATCAATTAAGACGTTCTGTTCGATTGCAGGAAATTGAGTCCTTCTCAGTTATAAATTTGAGTTCTTCAGAATGAAACCTACAGCATCATTTTACTGATTGTAGGAAGAACAGTATATCTACACACCAACAACAATACCACCATGCAGACAGATGTTCTACCAGCTCTGCGACATCCGAGCTCCCAAGATACAACACATTATTCATAGGAATGATGGAAAGGTGAGCAAACAATTGGTTCCTGGTAGAGATTTGTTATTGGTAGAAATTAGTTACAGTTAGAGATTTTTTAATGGTGTTAGAGATTTGTTATTGGTAGAAATTAGTTACAGTTAGAGATTTTTTAATGGTGTTAGAGATTTGTTATTTTTTAATGGTAGAGATTTGTTATTGGTAGTTAGTTAGAGATTTTTTAATGGTGTTAGAGATTTGTTATTGGTAGAAATTAGTTTTTTACAGTTAGAGATTTTTTAATGGTGTTAGAGATTTGTTATTGGTAGAAATTAGTAGTTAGAGATTTTTTAATGTTATTGGTAGAAATTAGTTACAGTTAGAGATTTTTTAATGGGTTAGAGATGTTATTGGTAGAAATTGTTATTTTTTAATGGTAGAGATTTGTTATTGGTAGAAATTAGTTAGAGATTTTTTAATGTTAGAGATTTGTTATTGGTAGAAATTAGTTACAGTAAGAGATTTTTTAATGGTGTTAGAGATTTGTTATTGGTAGAAATTAGTTACAGTTAGAGATTTGTTATTGGTAGAAATTAGTTACAGTTAGAGATTTTTTATTGTTAGAGATTTGTTAGGTAGAAATTAGTTACAGTTAGAGATTTTTTAATGGTGTTAGAGATTTGTTATTGGTAGAAATTAGTTACAGTTAGAGATTTTTTAATGGTGTTAGAGATTTGTTATTGGTAGAAATTAGTTACAGTTAGAGATTTTTTAATGGTGTTAGAGATTTGTTATTGGTAGAAATTAGTAACAGTTAGAGATTTTTTAATGGTGTTAGAGATTTGTTATTGGTAGAAATTAGTTACAGTTAGAGATTTTTTAATGGTGTTAGAGATTTGTTATTGGTAGAAATTAGTTACAGTTAGAGATTTTTTAATGGGTAAGAGATTTGTTATTGGTAGAAATTAGTTACAGTTAGAGATTTTTTAATGGTGTTAGAGATTTGTTATTGGTAGAAATTAGTAACAGTTAGAGATTTTTTAATGGTGTTTTGTTAGATTTTTTTTAATGGTTAGAGATTTGTTATTGGTAGAAATTAGTTACAGTTAGAGATTTTTTAATGGTGTTAGAGATTTGTTATTGGATTTTTTAATGGTGTTAGAGATTTGTTATTGGTAGAATTCGTTACAGTTAGAGATTTTTTAATGGTGTTAGAGATTTGTTATTGGTAGAATTCATTACAGTTAGAGATTTTATAATGGTGTTAGAGATTTGTTATTGGTAGAAATTAGTTACAGTTAGAGATTTTTATAATGGTTAGTTTTTTAATGGTGTTAGAGATTTGTTATTGGTAGAAATTAGTTACAGTTAGAGATTTGTTATTGGTAGAATTTAGTTACAGTTAGAGATTTTTTAATGGTGTTAGAGATTTGTTATTTTTTAATGGTAGAAATTGGTAGAAATTAGTTACAGTTAGAGATTTTTTAATGGTTAGTTTTTTAGAGATTTGTTATTGGTAGAAATTAGTTACAGTTAGAGATTTTTTAATGTTGTTATTGGTAGAAATTAGTTACAGTTAGAGGTTTTTTAATGGGTTAGAGATTTGTTATTGGTAGAAATTAGTTACAGTTAGAGATTTTTTAATGGTGTTAGAGATTTGTTATTGGTAGAAATTAGTTACAGTTAGAGATTTTTTAATGGGTAAGAGATTTGTTATTGGTAAAATTAGTTACAGTTAGAGATTTGTTATTGGTAGAAATTAGTAACAGTTAGAGATTTTTTAATGGTGTTAGAGATTTGTTATTGGTAGAAATTAGTTACAGTTAGAGATTTTTTAATGGTGTTAGAGATTTGTTATTGGTAGAAATTAGTTACAGTTAGAGATTTTTTAATGGTGTTAGAGATTTGTTATTTTTTAATGGTAGAGATTTGTTATTAGAAATTACAGTTAGAGATTTTTTAATGGGTGGTAGAAATTAGTTACAGTTAGAGATTTTTTAATGGTGTTAGAGATTTGTTATTGGTAGAAATTAGTTACAGTTAGAGATTTTTTAATGGGTAAGAGATTTGTTATTGGTAGAAATTAGTTACAGTTAGAGATTTTTTAATGGGTAAGAGATTTGTTATTGGTAGAAATTAGTTACAGTTAGAGATTTTTTAATGGTGTTAGAGATTTGTTATTTTTTAATGGTAGAATTTGTTATTGGTAGAAATTACAGTTAGAGATTTTTTAATGGTGTTAGAGATTTGTTATTGGTAGAAAACTCATAATCTTTTAGTAATATTGAAAGAAAACCTGACCACCTACTGTTCTAATTTATCAAAAAGTCTACAGATATCTTTACTTGCAACAGTTTTCAAATCATCAACTCTCACAATCCACACATTATGGTATATACTTGTGTAAGATTTCAGGTCTTTAACTCGCATGGTCCACGTAGTTCTGGGTATCAACTTGTGCTGAATAGAGCATGAGCTATGAATGCCAACTGGATCAACACAAATTCAACATGAAGTGCTTCACTGAATTTGTCATTAGCTTGCTAGATGCCCATGAATGCCAACTAAAAGCAGTTCAATACTGTCTGCAAGCTAGAGAGTTCTTCCTGACACCGGTAGTTAGCAACACACTGAAATGTTAAACATGATAGGTTGGTCTGAAAAAAAGAACGGTATCGGTTCATTCTCCAAATCTGACTTTACACAAATTATGTTGTATCAAACCAACTCCTCGTACCTCTAAAACATATTTCAATATTTAAACTAAGGCACATTCTTCCATACCGTTACCAAATATTATTGTAGTTTTCAGTGATAAACACTCCTCAGTTTAGCTAGTTTGTACTTTTTTTTGTAATTATCTCCCTTTGACCATAAATAGTCTTGATTGGCACAAGAAATTCATATGACCAACGGTCTTATTTTGTCTGTCTAGATCAAGAAAGGAGAAGGGGAGAAAATATTACCATTTAATCATAATTAGATAGTAAAAATATGAATTTTTTTTTTCTGTGACATTATATTTAATACTCAAAATGTATGTAATTCATTTTTGGTGTAGATATTGTTGTAATTTTCTCGACATTGTGTCTAGTTTCTGAAAAAAATATGTAAATATATTTTTTGTATATAAACATTTTTCCTATGTAAACATTGGTGAAGTTAGTGTCCATGGGATTCTTTACTGTGAAAAAAAAACAGGCATCTGTTCAGAAGATATTAAAACACCTTTCTCTATTGTTCTACCTGTATGTTACACATCAGTTTTAATTGTACAAAGGGTTATGGACATCTTCAGTCAGTACAGTATCTGTCTTCTGATCTGATGCTTGAGTTTATAATCACTGGTGTAAGCACGACGAAACCCCTATTGGTGTTGTTGGCTGTCCTTATTGATGACAAGGAGCCGAAACATTTAAAAAGTAGGAAGTAGGGTTGCAGGTTTTAGTTGTCAGTGGCAACATGGCAGTCTTCCTGTTGCTTGGATGTGGGAATTTTTTCTCTGTGCATCGTTTCATTATTTGGGTAGATTCAGTAATGAACTGGAAAAGTCACAAGTTTATCTCTTACAGAAACATTATTTGGGTAGATTCAGTGATGAACTGGAAAAGTCACAAGTTTGATTTCTTACAGAAGCATTATTTGGGTAGATTCAGTGATAAACTGGAAAAGTCACAAGTTTATCTCTTACATTTGCACACCCTCCTGTTACTTCGTACTGAGAAAAATAATAATATTTTATTGCCATTGTACAGTATAAAACCTTTTTGTGATATTTCCAGAAATGTATTTCTACCATCGCATTAACAAATATTTTATAGCTTAACGAGTTGTTTATTTACAACCTTACAACATTTATCACTGAAGTCATGAATGTAAGAGTCGTTAGATCCAACCATGCAGATAATTACTGTCATTTTCCACCTTGTTAATTACGAAAGACAGATTATACTATAAAAATATTTATGACTGTGAGAACATTTATGGTTGTATATTTTCGTATTTTTTTACCTTTTTTTTGACTGACTTTTGAAAATACTTAAACAGACTGTATATTTCTGTATAAACATGTAAGGTCTGTTTCTTCTTTTTATCCTAATTTGCTTGTTTATTCCAGTATCAAAAACTGCTGTTATGATTTCAGGAAAAGCAAATCTAAACATTGTTTGGTGGTGAAATTGGTAAAATGTTGGCGATAGACAAGATTGATTTGTTCAGGTAACTAAAAGCTGACAGGCAGAAATGTTTACATAACATTCTCCTGAGGTGTGTAAGTCATGAAATTACATTCTCCTGAGGTGTGTAAATCATGAAATTACATTCTCCTGAGGTGTGTAAGTCATGAAATTACATTCTCCTGAGGTGTGTAAATCATGAAATTACATTCTCCTGAGGTGTGTAAGTCATGAAATTACATTCTCCTGAGGTGTGTAAGTCATGAAATTACATTCTCCTGAGGTGTGTAAATCATGAAATTACATTCTCCTGAGGTGTGTAAATCATGAAATTACATTCTCCTGAGGTGTGTAAGTCATGAAATTACATTCTCCTGAGGTGTGTTAGTCATGAAATTACATTCTCCTGAGGTGTGTAAGTCATGAAATTACATTCTCCTGAGGTGTGTAAGTCATGAAATTACATTCTCCTGAGGTGTGTAAATCATGAAATTACATTCTCCTGAGGTGTGTAAGTCATGAAATTACATTCTCCTGAGGTGTGTAAGTCACGAAATTACATTCTCCTGAGGTGTGTAAGTCATGAAATTACATTGTCCTGAGGTGTGTAAATCATGAAATTACATTCTCCTGAGGTGTGTAAATCATGAAATTACATTCTCCTGAGGTATGTAAATCATGAAAAAGAAAATCTTAGAACTTTTGGAGGAACCGTTTCATTTATGATTATAAAACCTTTCTTTCCCTGTATATAGAGGCCAATCAGAATAGAGAACATTTTTATGTCATCTTAACAAACATTTTCTTTCTGACTTTTCATATGGTTGAGGAGTTCTCATGTTTGTTTTATAGCTGACATGCTCTGTGAGTTAGTAA